TTCGAACCAAATGAATTCTAAAATTAAGGTTCTTAAAAGTGATAGAGGTGGTGAATATTGTTCCGCGGATTTCACTAACTATTGTGAAGACAATTGAATTATTCACCAAGTTACTGCCCCGTATACACCACAACAAAATGACTTAGTTGAAAGGAAAATCACACTCTTATGGACATGATCAATGCCATGCTCATCAGGTCCAACGTCTTGCTAATCTTTGGGGAGAAGCCCTTATGTCTGCTTATTTCATTTTAAGCCGCATACCATATTGGAATTCTAGTGTTCACCATATGACAGTTGAGAAGGTAGAAAGCCTCATCTAGATTTTCTCAAGGTTTGGGGATGTGTAGCATTGGGTAATTCTTCCTCCTCTAAGGTTGTTGGCAAAAGGACGGTTGAACTAAAATTCACGTCTGGTAAAGTCTTTAGCTTTTTGGATGTGTTCCATGCCTCTGAAGTCTGGAAAAACTTGGTATTTGCATACCTTTTGAACAATAAGGGTTTCAAACTTGTCTTTGAGTCCGCCAAGTTTATCTTGTTGGAGAATGATGTCTTTGAAGGAATGAGCTATGCCTTGGAAGGCATGTTCAAGCTCAATCTTCATAATGAAATAGGTACATCTTCTTATGTGTATATGCTTGATTTTTTTTCCTTATGGCATGTTAGATTAGGACAAGCTAATTATCATGTATTAAAAAAAATGAGTAGTTTAGACCTTAATCCTAAGTGTGATTTAGAATCCTAAGTGTGATTTAGAGAATACTCTGTTTACAGTCTAAGATCACAAGAAAACCCCTTCTTAAGGCAGAAAGAAGTTACAGGTTATTGGAATTAATTCATAATGACATCTATGATCTGAGAGGCATACAAACTCGTGGGAAGAAATACTTTGTCATTTTCATAGATGATTTTTCAAGATACACCTATGTTTACTTGATTAGAATCAAAGATGAAGTATTTGATAAATTCAAGGTTTACAAAACAGAAGTTGCGAACCAAATGAATTCTAAAATTAAGGTTCTTAAAAGTGACAGAGGTGGTGAATATTGTTCCGCGGATTTCACTAACTATTGTGAAGACAATTGAATTATTCACCAAGTTACTGCCCCGTATACACCACAACAAAATGACTTAGCTGAAAGGAAAATCACACTCTTATGGACATAATCAATGGCATGCTCATCAGGTCCAACCTCTTGCTAATCTTTGGGGAGAAGCCCTTATGTCTGCTTGTTTCATTTTAAGCCGCATGCCATATTCGAATTCTAGTGTTCACCATATGACAGTTGAGAAGGTAGAAAGCCTCATCTAGATTTTCTCAAGGTTTGGGGATGTGTAGCATTGGTAAGGCTCCCTGACCTTAAGAGGCCCAAACTTGGACCTAGATCTATAAGGTTGCGTTTTTGTGGGCCATGCTGAACATAGCAAAGCCTATAGATTTTTGGACATAGAGTCAAATGTAATCTTAGAGTCCAGGGATACAAAATTTTTCGAACACATATTTATTAGTGAGTGGGATAATTAATATGAAGCTCAACTTTGTAAACGTAAAATTGGTGAACTAGATGAAGAAATTTATGTTGAGCAACCATAGGGATTAGTCCGTAAGGAACAAGAGCACAAAGTTTATGAACTTATAAAATCCCTATATGGTTTGAAGTAAGCACCCAAGAAATGGCATACAAACTTCAATAGAATTATTACTTTACACGAATTTCAGATCAGTTATTATATAACATGTGTTTACGCATGCATTAACGACACAAAGAAGTTATTGTCTTCTGAGTTTAATATGAAAGACATGGGGCTACCTTACATAATACTTGAAATTAAAATAGTGAGACAACCAACTGCGTATGTTTTAACCCAAAGCCACTATGTAGAGAAAGTGCTCAAAAGATTTGACCGCTTTGATTCTAAGCCAGTTTCGATCCCTTATGATGCTCACATTAAACTCAGAAAGAACCGTGGAGGTCATGTTTTCTAAATGGACTATGCTAGAGTCATTGGATGCATAATGTATGCAAAGTCATGCACTAGACTAGATATAGCCTTTATTGTGGGTAAAATGACTAAAAATACATGTACCAGGTTAAGAGCTTTGGATGCGGTCTTTAGGGTCGTAAAATATTTGAAAGGAGCTATAGACCATGACCTACATAATGCGGGTGTTCCACAGTATTTAAAGTACAATGATGTTTTCAGGATTCTAATGAATCTATGACTTTCTGATGCATCTTGACTTGTGGTGGGGGTGTATTTTTGGGATTCCAAGATATAAATTTCAGTCTCCAAATGATTGGAAAAAATTGCCTTGGATTCCATTGTGTGAAGGCTAAGTGGCTAAGGAACTTGCTGGACTTTCTGGTAGACGTACCACTTGTTCAAGTCCTAGGCTTGCAGTCTCATAAGGAGTGATTGTGAAGTTTTGTATACCAAGCGAATGGTTAGGGATTTACTTCGAGAAATACAGTTATACTTCCTTGAGGCACAATTAGTTGAGACTTATGCTTGAAATGGATTCATAGTTGTACTACATATTAGCGATAACTAGTACTTAGTAGAATTTTGAGAAAAACCTTGCAAGGTACGAAGTCTAGAAGTAAACTAGAGGGATGGGATTGGGCCCAATTGAATTTATGCCACAAGGCAATGTGAACCCTACCTAGGATAAGGAGATCCCAAGTCCAAGGTTCAAAGGGAAAACAAGTCGCTCGTGTGATGTTTGATGGTTGTGGGTACCACAAAATGTTTATATTATAGAAATTTATAAATTTCTACCCCATCCCTGGCTGTGTGGTACATTTACTGTAATGAATAGAGAGGTTCAGCTTTGGTCTTAATGATTCCATTTGCTTAGATGATGTAAGGCCTAGGTTGGGATATTGCACTGCAAAACATCTTCCATGGTGGAGGCCACTTCCTATGGGAACTGGCTATTCCTTGGAGCACTCATGAAAACCAGATAGAGCATAGGGCGGCCTTTAATGTACAAGCCTTTTAAACAATCACAGCTTTTGAAAGGAAATATGTGGTATATGGGAGGCTTATTTTTTATGGACATAATTCAATATTCATCCACTCACTGTCCTGATAAATGTTATGTATAACACTATGTAGAGGTTCACGTCTAAATGACACTTTCACTTATGTATTTCATTTCTTGATCTTACTTTTTTTCTTCCCGTCTGGTAGGTTTTTGAAACTGGTGTTTTTAATGTTAATATTGTTGATGGTCCATCATGTTTTTTTGGTATGCATGGACCACCACTTCTTCCTCCCAATTGTTGCGTAGTCATGATGACCTCACCTCCTTGCCCTCATGGGGGGCAAGTGTCCATACACTTGGCATTACATATTCTCCATCTCTCTGTCTCACTCACTCTCTCTCTCTCTTTAGTAGCCATTTCTCTACCCTCCTTATATTATATTATTTCTCTATTATATAAGCCTTGAGCAAGAAAGAGAAAGTATATGGAGATGTATAAATTTGGAAGAGTAAAGGTCGTGAAGTCAATGGAATTTTTAGCAACATTTTGAGGAAGGATTTGAGCTATTTTTCAAGAAAAATAAACTCAAAAGAATTTTTTTTGATATTTCATTTTTCTTTAAGTACAATCAGTTTAGATGCTGTGTTTTAGAGAGTTTTGTGAGCATGCAACTCAAAAACTCTGATTGTTTATGATTTGTTTGCATCCTAAAGGTGTGTTCACCAGATACCCTACATCTTGATTTTGTACCGGGTAAGGGGTAATCAACACTTTGAAGAAAGCGAGCTCCTCTCATGCTTCCATATCCCGATCTTTGTTGCCGCCTGGTATAACCTCCGAATCCAAATTCTAACTCCTATTAGAGTCCGACTGGTACTAACAGTGTTTCTTTTTTCCAAATATAACCTCTAAATTCAGATTCCGACTCCTACAGGAGTTCGACTGGTACTAAGAGTGTTTCATTTTTTCCAAATATAACCTCCAAATCCATATTCCGACTACTACGAGAGTCCGATTAGTACTAAGAGCGTTCTAGTTCAATCCAAGCTTTATCACAGTCTAGGGGAGGTGCTACCGAATTTTTCCCAAGAATGAGAGTTCGTGAAGGCTGTTCAAGCACTAGCTCCATTTACGAGGCGGAAGTCAGATCCCTCAGTCGTGCGTTCAGCTATCGACCGTGAGTTCAAGCTATCGCTCATGTGTTCAAGTTATTGAACATGAGTTTAAGTTATTAGTTGTGCGTTCAGCTATCAACCGTAAGCTTAAGCTATTGGTCGTGTGTTTAGCTATCGATCGTGTGTGCAAGCTATCGATCGTGTGTGCAAGCTATCGATCGTGTGTTCAAGCTATCGAACGTGAGCTCAAGCTATCAATCGTGCGTTCAAGCCATCGGTCGTGCTTTCAAGCCATCGATCGTGTGCTCAAGCTATCGACCATGCATTCCAATTATCGACTATTTGTTAGGCTTTGCACCGTGCATTAACTATCACCACTACCCAAAGATAAACTAACATTCCTACATCTGCTATACATTTCGAGATTGGATATGGACATAATGCGTTAAAGATGTATTCATGCATTGGAACAAAAAACCTATTATTAAAATTTGTACAAATTTTTTTTCATTAATCTCACAAAATAGAGAGATTAAAAAAACAAAAAATGCGCAGATTAGTTAATCAAGGCTTGATGCTTGTATAATTTAATAAAATGAACCAAAATTATGATTTAAACCATCCATTTTTTTTAAACATAATATAGACTGAATGTTAAAAAAAACATCTTAATGGGATAGATGTCGTTATCAAATCAACTATATTGCAATTGAACAGTAAAAATTAGGTATTAATCAAGATTCAGAGAGAAAGTTTACTTATGTATATACTTTAACATCAATCCACAAGAGAGAGAGAGAGAGAGAGAGAGAGAGAGAGAGAGAGAGAGCCAGGGGCTCAAACAACTCATGTCATGCATATAAGCCAAATTGAGATGCACTAAAAAAAACTGGAAGCTTGCAAATAAGGACTACATTTCATTACATTGCAATATTCATTTCCATGCTAAATGGAACAGGCACGTATGCTCCCGCTGGAGTATCTAAAGAAAGAGCCACAAAACACCCTCCTACAAAGTAAATACAGAACCAAACCCTGCTAATATTATTTTCATTATTCAGAACCTTAAGCCATATTTTAGTTTTCTTATCCACATATCAATCCAAGGATACAACACAAATGGAGTAAACCATATGTTGCTCCTCTTAGGTTAATGTTTTCATTAAGTGTAGATGTGAACCCCTGTTTCTTATTTAGTAGACTTAATAAGACATTTGGGCCCCAGTTTCTCCTTCAGTAGAATTGACACAATTCAGTTAGTTATACTAATATCAGCCTCGGTTATTGCAGTGGTGAAGTATGGCAACTGAAACCATCAGCAATTGCAGAAGCACAGAGAAGTGCTCAATCCCCAAAGCCTAAGGGTTAACTCAGAATATGACCATTAAATTTGCCTAAGGCAAACGGCGTTCGAAAACTTGGCCGAGTAACTCAGACTCGGCAGGGTAATGAGGCAAGTTTGCTTGTACAAAGTCAAGGTTATAGAAATTCTGTTATTTCTATAAAATTACTATTACTAAATAACTAATCAAAGTTGTATAAATGTTTTTCTATATATAATTGTATGTTTTTGTCATGATTTTTGAATTTTTCTTATTATAAGATCTATTTTTCTATTTTCCCCTTTTTTGAATTTTTCTGAATTGTTCAAGCTATAAATCAAATTCTTCCATATTCCTCCTTCTATGTGAACTTTCTCATCTTTTATAGATTTTTAACTACGTCTATAACTTCTTTGGGTTTTTACCCTCTTATTTATTTTTAGCAAAATTTAATTCTTTCCTTTTTGGCAATTCTGGGTCTTTTTTTGGGCTCATACACTACCTGGGAGAGTACTCTAGCACTTGCTCAAGTTACTTAGTTTGGGTGGGAGCTGTGTCCCGAGCCCCGGGCCGAGCCAAGTTTCTAAACCTTGATGGCAATCAACCAAAAGATTTTAGTCCCTATCATCTCAGAAAGCCCAAAGATCTGAATTAAAGAGATTTGAAAAGTCTTAAGGAAATTGGGGAAGCTTACCCCATCTTAATATTTGAAGACCAAAAGATCATCAAGAATGAATCAGTTGGCAAACACATTAAACCTCACTCTAGCAGTAACTTCAGGGTGTAGCTTGAGCTCAGCAATATATTCTCCAGTTTCTCGGATCTCTGGCAAAGTGACAATCCGCTTGTCCACATCCCTGAAAATTAGGATAACAAACATATACTCGAAAGACATTGAAATGTTTTTCTTATTTTTGGGACAAATTCAATGCATGCAGATTGTGAAGAAAATTCAATGAAAACTTGCTATTAGAATGGAAATGTACCTCGCCAATTGCGCCTTGATTATGTCTACAAGATCTTGAGCAGTGACACTAGAAAGAGAATGAGTCAATTTTTAGATGAGACATGTTAATTGTATCAGATGAACCCATTGAAGTTTTGTAAATTTAAGAGCACCAAATAATTAACAATTTCATGAAATTAATAGAAACGGGTGATGCCTTTGACCACTTACGTTCCAAAAATCTGCTTTCCTTTTCCACCCTTGCGCTTCACCTTGAAAGCTCCCACTGTTTCAAAGATCAAAGCAAGTTGTTGTGCCTCCTCTTTTACCTGAATCCAGAACAATAGAGAACTTAAATGTTGCGTGCTGCATATTCTTATCAGTTTTCCAAAAATAGTCCCCCCCAGGTTAGTTCCGGTCGAGTGGTCAACATCATATTGTTGAAGAGAACATGTGGAATTTCTGGGGAACTAAGTTTATTTATATGGCCTATTTCATGGTGTTACAGGAAAAGGTAAGACTATTTTGAAATAACCCCCATATTCCTATTTATTATATTTCCAACTATTATTAAAGCAATGAGAATGGCACTTGAAAGAACAGAATGGCAAAGCAATATTCGTGTACCCGACCTCAAATAGTTGAGAAAAAGCTCTGATGATGATGATTGAAGCCATGAGAAGTGAAAATATAATACAGCCTAGAATACTGCTCTCAAGTATCTAGATAAGAGAGAGAAGCTTTGTTTGCAAGAAAAACTGCAGAAGAGCAAATTAGTCATTGAATCTGTCACTTTATGTCTTTTATTTATTTCTTGAGTCATTTCATTCAATTAGGGGTATAAGTAGTAATTTCTAGAGTTTTTTATATATTTTTATTCACTTAAAGTCTTTTATAATAAGGGTGTGGTTTGTATAAGGCTGAGGCCCCAAACAATCAAAGTAAGGGGCACCTTCAAATAGTGCCGAAATATGTTGTTTTAGTATCAGAAATCTTTATGATGACTTGAATATTTATTTTCATCTCTAATTATAAAATTTAAATATTAAAAAATAGCGTAGATTGAGCAGATCTATAAATACTTGAAAATTCACGGTCTAGATAATACATTACAGAATGCAATATTTTCAATAATTGAAATCTACTTTTTCTCTTGTCCATACATATTACATATTGAGGTTTTCTTTTCTTTTTTTTTTTTATAATGTTGATTTCATAAATCTTGAGGTTGAGATTATCGAATTGAGGGTTTTTCAACATCGAAACAACCTCTTCTTGTGAATTTTTAAGGAGCCCCTTAATTTGATTGTTTAGGGTCTCGCCCTTATATAAACTTTGTCGTTATAAAGTTATAATAAAGGGCTATGAGTAGATTTGATGGATCGACAGGATTAAATCTTGTTTAGTGTTGCTCATATGAGGGATGTACTCAAGCATAATGAATGATCATGTTATGGACAATTATTCAAAATCCAAAAGCAACAAGTGCTCTCTTTCGTCCCTGGCTTTTGCATTTCATCTAGTTTTGGATATTCCCTATCTTTTTCTTTGCTAAACCCTAATCCAAGCTACTAGGTATGTGGCAGGTTCGTATCAGAGCCCAACAAGCATTAAGGATGGTACTATAGCACATTACTGTAGCATCAATTTTTGTGCCCTAGATCAACAATCATGCCTCCACATAGAGGAAAAAGAGGAAAAGCGGCAACCTTAGAAGCATTTGATGCTAATTTGAGATAATGGATTGCAAATCTAAGGAGATTGGTTGAAACCTAGCTCTGCATGTGATGCAAATGGAAGCCCCATCTCACGAGTATGAGATCGAGGCAGATGAGGAATCCATAAATCCTTTCCATGATCAAGCTCCAAGGGGAGAGGTAGCTGATTATGCGGATAGGGATAGTAGGAGGTGCGAAACCGGCCTCAAGGTCTAGATCCCAGAGTTTTATGATGAGGACAACAAGCATTCTTTCGAAGGTGATCCCATCTACAATGCGCTGGGTTGATGAAGAGGACTTGGAAGTGATCAACAGTCATCATGGGGACTTACCACCAATCTTTGATGTGTGTACCCTAATGAGGATTTCGAGTTTGGTGGAAGAACAATGTATGATGAAGTTGGTGAACCTAACTTTGATGAAATGAAAGAGGAAGGCCCTATTTTGAATGAAGAAAATGCTATTGGCCAGGAAGATAATGATGGTGACGGAATTTACGATGGTGAAGATGGGGGTGATTACGATGGGCTAGTGCTTTGTTTTGGGATGAGAGCCCCAACAACAACACACCAAGTTCTAATGGAAAGAGGCACTGGCTGCAATGCATTCATCTTAACTCATTTTAAAGTTTGTAAGCAAGTTATCTCAAGACAATAATACTATGCATATGTGCCACGTGTTTCAATTTTCCATGTGGACAAAACATGAACACGATGGACAAAGTGCATATTCTCTCTTGTTTTCTTGAATTGGGTCTCGTCAAAAATGGGGTAAAGTGGATATTCCTTGTTGATGATAGACATGCGAATATAGCACTATTGTTGATGGCAGTTTTGGTAAAGTGCATATTCCATTTTGTTGCCACGCAAATCAGTATGCTTATATCATTCCTGCCATACATGGCCTTGTACATCAGGGATTAGAACCAGTGCAAATCTATGGACAAGATGGGTTATCTCTTGTATGGGCTTTTCTTCTTTGGACAGAGAAGCAGGCTCTTGATAGAGGCGAAGAAGTAAATTTTGTACCATGGCAGAATGAAGCTTCTTATTAGGACATTTACTTTCCCTTACTAATTTCTCATGTTCTATTTGCCAAGATTGCCATGAAAGGGTTTCATGATCATGCAGTGCCGAATGTTTTATTGAGAGGTTGCAATGTGTTGGATGTTTTATTTGGTCCAAAGCAGGTGACTGTGTTCTCTGTTGAAGACAGTTAATTAGAATTGTGCATTAACAAACTCATGGAGTATGATGCCAAATATAAGGTAGCCGCTGACAAGCATCGGCAGCATAAGATTTTTGATATTGGAGATTTTGTGTGGTCAGTCATGACTAACGATAGATTCCCAACAAGGGAGTATCATAAGTTGGGCCAGCACAAGATTGGATCGTGTAAAGTGGTGCAAAAGATTAATGACAATGTCTACAAATTGAAGCTTTCCAAATATATTTGCACTTTTGATGTTTTTATGTCAAGCATCGCATTCCACATCACGGTGATACCTCCAACGACGAACAACCGAAATCAAGGGTGAATTAAGGGGGGACTGATGCAGCCCAGAATACTGCTCTTGAGTATTTAGTTAAGAGGGAGAAGTTGAAAGTTTAAAAGAAATGCAAAATGACAAATTAGTCATTGAATCTGGCCTTTTATGTCTTTTATTTATTTCTTGAGTCATTTTATTCACTTTGGGAATAAGTAGTAATTTCTAGAGTCTTTTATGCCGTTTTATTCACTTAAAGTCTTCTATAATAAGTGACCATGATTAGAATTGATGGATGGCCATGATTAAGCCCTTTTTAGGGTTTTCTTGTACAAGGGATGTACTCAAGCATAATGGATGATCATGTTATGGACTTTTATGCAAAACCTTAGAGCAACAAGTGCTCCTTCTTTTATCCCTGTTTTTCGCATCATTCTCTAGTTTTGGATCTTCCGTATCTTCTTCTTTGCTAAATCCCTGGCCCAAGCTACTAGTTCTGTGCCACAATACCAAAGTGTCTTCATGATTTAATATCTTAACTCACAGCATATTGTGCTTTCTGGTTTTGTTTTTTTGATGGGCTTTGGCTTTCTTATTTTTTTATAGAAGACTGATCTGTTAAAGCCTAGTCAACCAATAAGTACCTTATAGAGAGAAAAAGAGGCTTGCCAATGGCCATTTTGGACAAAGACATCATCATTATCATCAACCGAGCCACTTATCTCAAGTATTTGGGACAAAGACGATAAGCATCAATATAAGGGGATGACAATGATGATAATGTAACAAACAATGAACAAAGTAACAATAGTCATTAACAAAGACAATCGAAAATTGGGAAGACAGCCTTTTCCGTACACTCTCACATGTTGGACATGTTCCCAACTTGCTTATGAATAGTTAAAAACACATTCTTCTCTAGGATTTCATAAGAAGTTGACATGTTTGTTTTCACTCTTAGTGAAAAAGTATGGATAATGCATTTGGTAGCCCATGTGATGAATATTGCCAGAAGAGATATCAATATAATTCACTTGTGAAACGCAAAAAGCAACATACCAACTAGAGCTGCAGGGAAGGAAATCACTAACGACAGAACATAAATTGAACCATTTTGACTATGAACAACTCAAATATAAGACCTATATTATATCCTAGAGCTTCAATTTTATTAACGGCATTATAGTTACCCGGATCGCCTATGAGGGTAGCGATTCCGTTTCGGAATCTTAATTCGGCGTTTCCTCGGGCGGAAGTCGATTCTAAAAAAAAGGAATCACGTTTCCATTTTTTGCGGAACACGATTCCACCTAGTTTAGGAATCTCGATTCCGGCATTGTCGGAATCAAGATTCCATATCGAGGACTTTATGATTCTTAGCTACACAAGAATGTGATTCTGCTTGTGAGAAACGTTGATTCCAAATTTTTTGGAATTGTGAATCCATGTTGTTTGGAATCAAGTTTCTATATCGTAGACATCGTGATTCCTTGCTACAGAACAATGCGATTCAACTTATAATAAACGTTGATTCAAAGAATAGGAACTTCAATTTTGAACTAAATAATATAACATGAAAATAATGCGAGACTAGGAATTTCAAGTCTTCAACTAAATAATATAACATGAAAGTAATGTGAGAATAGGAACTTCAAGTGTTCAACTAAATAATATATAACATGAAAGTAATGTCAGCATAAGGAGAGCAGAAACCCTCCGATGTGTGCTCAATCATGAGTGAGCACGACATGTATGCGATTCCGAAATAGTGAGAATCATTTTTCTCAAATCCAAATCGTACGGACAACGATTCCTAGATTTCGAAACTTCTAATACACACGATTCCGATTCCATAAACGATTTGGAATGACAGACGTTTCCAACAACTATAAACGGCATATTAAAATTGTCATTTTAAGATAAAAAGAATCAAATTTTAAGCACATAAAACTATACAGAGCATGTGTATGACAATACTTTTTAAGGTATTTGACTTCCAATCAAATTAGTTTCTTGACAGACATAGTTAGTCCTGATGGAAGTTCTTATAAATTGGGCATTGTGTTGGATCTATCATGGAGTCACACCAACAAAAGAATTTGGTGTTGTTTTAGATAGTAAAATTATCAGTTTGAAATATCTTAATTAATCTTACACAGATATGGACATAGATGAAAGGCCAATGTACCCTTCTAGTTTACCAATGAGATTACGAAAAAGAAAGAAAAAAAAGGAAGGGGGGTGGTCAAGAATTAAGAAAGTGACCATCCAGGCCCTTAAGGGGAATGCACCTGCTTGATTCTATTCTCTTTTATCCTCAACAAAGTAGGTACCTGTATTCTACAAGCTAGATAGAGGAGAATGGAGTAGATTTAATGAGACATTTGCTCCCCTAGGTTAGCCAATTATAGTCCAAATCCAACTAACAATTATTTGTGACAAAGACGGATTATGGTATACAAAGGGAGTAAAAAGCACCTATTTTGGAAGAAGTAATTGTCAAAAGACTCTTATGCAACCACCCCCATGGAAAGATTAATATTTCCTCCTCACTAAGGCTCAACAGTGCTAATTCTCAATTGCTTTAATTTTGATTCCTTTTGATGAAGCTCACAAGAATGATTCTCTCAGGCCACCCAATCATACATCTAAGCAAACAGAATATGAGTTCAATTTGCAAGTTCTAATGAAGTGATTTGAAAATTCAAAACCAATAACCAAGTTGTTGACACCTAGCAACAATTGTTGACCATAGAAATGGAGAAAGCATTCTTACCCGCTTCTTCTCAGCTTCAATTCTCTCCTCTTCCAACCTCATTTCCCTATAAAAGAAAGCAAGATACATTTTTCATTTCCAAATGGACTAAACAATCAATGAAGATAGAAAAAGGTAACAAATATCCTGATCCATGTAATCTCTTCTAGTGTCACAAAGGGTAATGAAGCATTAAAAACCAATTATAGAAAAGTACTTTTATGGAAAATTCCTTAAGAAATACTTGTATGATATACGAAGGAAAGTAACATTACCTTGAATGAGCATCACAAATGAATATGAAAACAAAATAGTAAAATATTCGAAATACATATAGTTTCCAGGGCAAGGGAATTGCATATACCCTTTGTGAAATTGTGGCTCCCAGCAGAATGTTCTCAATTTTCATCATTTTCACCACAAGGCTTATTTTAGGCAAGGTAAAATATCAAATTGCACTTCAAATACCAACTAAGAGAAACAGACTATAGATCATTGAAGTAATATTTTTACAGTTTATACTAGAATAAGGATGTATCAACAGTCCCCATCATGCTATTCCTGTTGCTTAAATAGCCTTATATACCCCATTATAACATACTGCCAACTGTTCATGATGAGCATATATACAAGTTCTTCAGTAAATCAGGTCCCTAATAATGCGAGGCAACTTCTAAACATGTTCTAAATTCTATCATGAAACACAAAATTGATAGGAAAATACATAAAATTTTTTATCATTCACAGGAAAATATCTAGGTGTTGAAACAAAGAGTCCTAAGGTTGGGTCCAGCTGGGTTGTCCCACTACCTGGGCCCTGCCATATTAACTATTGGGCCCAGCCAAGACCGGCCTGATTCCTAATCTGACTTCGCTAATCGGGCCTGAAGCACTCTTACCAAGCCTGGACCAGGCCCATCACCAAAAATTATTACGGCACGGCATGAGCCAGTGTTTTCGTTTTCTTTCATTATAAAAGTATTAGTATGAGTAAACAGACTATACTCGTAATCCCTACAAGTTACAGATGTGGATCCTTATTCCATACTGCTTTTTGCTGTAGACGTTAAAACGACCATACAATGAACACACGAGGATCTATACTGCATTGGCTGTAGATCTTAGAACCACTAGTTCCTTACTTGTTTGAAACACCTCATTCTCTCCAATTCAAAAAATAACAAGTGGTCACCTTGTTTCCCTATCATTGACAAGTGATACAAGTGATTGAAAACATTTTCTTGATACGAGAAATTTTTTTGCATAAATCAAGCCCATTTTACTGCTTTTCTACAGTTTTCTTTGTTTAAGCCCAAAAATGGCTTTTGTCACACGGTGAAACATATTTCTCCAGACAAACGGAATAGTGCCAGCTTAAGGAATCCATGTAAACTGCTTCCTGCAGATCATGCCAGAATATACATCAAGATACAACAGGGAGGTCATCTTAAACAAGGTCTCTTTGGAATTAATCATTTACTCTTTGCAAAATTTTGCAGAAAGATGTGTCGTTAGTCTATATCCTCATCCATCAATTAAATATGTCACATTTACAAAATCTTCATGCAACCACTAATTTGCATGCACTAAGGTAGTGTAACAAGATCCCATGACAAATTCTTTAAAGAAATAGTCCCTCCGCTTCACAGAGAAAACCTTAGTTATGACAGCCAAATATCTAATGTTGAATCTTGTTTAAGCCCATCATTTTCCATCTTTGACTTGAAAATGTTTCTTAATTACCTTGTCTCAAGAGATCAGGAAAAGGACGTGAAAATATTTCCTCTTTTAAATCACCATAAAACTTCTTCAAAGCTAGCTGGTGCAGTGGCCCATGCTTCTTTGCCATGGAGAGAATTATCTTGTTTCTCAAGAGAACTAAGGGAAAAGTCTTTCTTGAGTTAATTTCACTATTCAGGTAAAGTGTTTTGAAACAAGACTCGCATTATGGATCTGAATGGTCCAATTATGTCCAAACTTCATCTGGTCATCCACTTGCAACCGACTCTGCAGTTTCTTCAAGGGCATAACATCTGCCGAATGAGGTTTCTTGATCGAAAATCAAAATCAAAAGCTTTTCTTCAAATATATGAAATAAATCAAAAGTATTTTTCATTGATATATTAGCTTCAGGCTTTCACCAATAAATATCATTGCAAATCTTGGTCCGACAAGACATTGTTCCCATTAAATATTCTTAAATAATATGAAGAGTAAAATGAAGGGTTTTCCAACTTATTAGGGTAATTGTATCTTCATTTTTGGCAATTTTCACCCCTGTTAAATCAAACCTGAAACACCCTTGGTTGTTTATTCTTGAATTCAAAGTAATTATGACATCTAGAACAGTCCAAGGAGGACAATATCATAATAAAAAAACCATTAGAGAGCATAAGCTAGGGTCACCTAAACTCGGACCAAAACTGAATGTAATCAATGACTGAATAGTGATCACACAGTTCAAGTATTTGATTGGTAATCAACTGAACAAAGTGTAAAATATGGGATCACACAGTTCAAGTATTTGATTGGTAACTTAATCCAACAGATGTTTCTGCACAAGTGAAAAGAAACCCAATCTCCTTCAATATTACCAAGCACAATCCCAAAGCCAATAAGTGGCAATTATACCTTTGACATAAAGGACTTCTCAAGCAACAGGAATCACATCCTTAGTTCATATACTCTTTAGTAATCCTCAATATAAGAAAACTATCCAATAAGAATGTCCCTGCGGACTAGTCAAACAACTGGGAAGAGATTCAGATTATAGTTGAAGTAGATCTAAAAGAATCCCAAGACGCGTGCAAAATCAAGTGTATATCGATATTCAAGTAACATTGGTTATATAAGAATGGATTTATATTATTCCATAGATAACTTCATAGATTACAAAAAGCCTAAAAGCTGCAAAGTCTCATGACTTATAGTTGCATGCTAAAGCACTTTTCGACACAAATGATGAACTACAGTAACATCAACAGAAAGTGCTGCATGTCACAAATTTGATGCAGTCTTCTGACCCAACTTCCAAACATATGAAAGGAAGACATAAAAAAGAAAGACCAAAGACAATTGCAAGATCTAAATATCCAATTCCTTATGGAGTTTTGGAGTATTTCTATGAATAAATAGCTTTCAAAGAAGTCTAAATGACTCCTAATTAGTTCAATGAGAACTCCAAATCAGGTTAAGCTATGAATGCGGGGATTCAAAAAGAAAAACTTTATATGATTGTGAATATATTTTTTACAACGAAAAAGTTTACATAAGGTTGAGACCTTATATTGTAGAATTAAGGTGCACCTCAAAAGTCCATCAAAAAAGGTTATTTTATCGCTGGAAAGCCATCTACTTGACCATTCCGACATCTAGATATATGGATATGAAAAAAAAATAAAAGACTTTGAAGTCTCAAAAAGAGTACATCTTGCAACACATTATCTGGACTGTCCATTTTCAAGATTTGCATGTGTTTATATCGACTTGATTTGAAAAAATTTTGAGTGTCAAAATCTTATAATTAGAGATAAAAATAGATTCTTAGGCCATCCTAGAACTTTCGAAACCAAAATTACATCCTATGACAAAGTTTGGAGGTGCGCCCAACTTCAATTGTTCAAGGTAGCAACCTTATGCATCCCACACGCTTATTATAATTCAACAATTAATCTATAATCTAAAGAAATAGAATAGAAACTAAATAGTAAATATAAGTAAAATAAATAGTAAAAAATGAACTATTATCACTTTTACTGTCAAGTTGATAGAATTACCATCATATACATCATAGTTAGCCCAAGCATATCCAAAATATATTTGCGCGAAAGTTAAAAGAGTAACCAGTGAGAAGGCTAACTTGAGGAATTGGGGAGTGGCAATTTGTGCCATGCCAAGAGGATGAAGATAATTCCTGTAATAACCAGCTTTAACATCAAGCAATTGCCCCTTCTTTCCAAGTTCTGAAACATCCTCCTTCAAGATAATCTGCCACCCAAAATACCACACATTAAAAATTCACCCAACAAAATGAAATACAGTAACGAAAACAATATTATTTCAAAACCCACAGTCACCTTTCTCAACTTCTTAGCCTTTTTCTGGGCGACCACCATTACCATCTCTCTCCCTAACTTCTGCACTCCATACTGTACATACAAAGGACAAATAAATGCAACGAAGAAAACCCATTTGTAATGTCCTACAATCTAACAAAAAGAAAGGAGGAGAGAGAGAGAGGGAGGGCTTTGCAA